TCAGTTATTGCTTTCCTAAACACTTTTATAGGATTCGAGTAACTGCATACGTAGAGTATGTGTGTGTTTTCAATAGATTAAAAAAATATATTATCTTATAAACACCCAGACTATTTAAATAAATTAGTATGATAGTTCACTTACAACTATGATATGAATGTCAATCATTAGTCCAATATCTTTAACCCTCTAATTCAAGAATCACGAATTTATTGAGTATTTTTTAATGGTTAAAAAGAATGTTGTTCTCCCTTTAGGTCTTAGGTTCAAGCAATTATATTTATAGGATGTGTACATCGTTAATGACTAAAAAAGTTATAAATATATTTTATCTTATAATCACCTTAAACTATTCCAAAAGAACCAAACACTTCATCTACAGAAAGAGTATCGCATTTTTTTAAAGGAATAGAAAAGAGCAAAGGGCTTGAGTCCGGACAGCAATTTTTAATGGGCACGATATAGGATCTCGTTGGTCTACGTTTGCTCCTGTTTCGTTGATGTGGATTTTACACATTTGTGGGTTCAAGGCGTTGGGCCTAACATTTTAACAAGTCCTTTTCTTATGATATCCTATTTGCCTGGCCGTATTTGGATTTTCAAGTGAAAATATGATCCTTGTTTAAAGTTGTTGAAGAGCTTTTCAAGTTGTTTTGTTTTTGGCAGGGTTCTTGCATTTGCATAGGTAGTTGTCATTCACCTACCTCTAGTTTCCAGTAAGAGACAAATCAGTGAGACTTTTTTGCTCAGCTTGTGAATGAAGAAATGAATCCAATGATGGTTTTAAAAAGTTATGGCCCAAATGGTTCAACCAATAGCTAATAATCGAGAGAGGGCACAATCCTTCTCCAACACACTCGGCTGATGGTGCAGGATGGCACATGTGTAGTGATGGACATGATGAGATTTCCGGCCAACCCGATTCAACATGAAAATATATATCATACGCTTAAAGCTCTATCTGACCTGATTTTAGAGTGATTTTACTATATCCGAATTTGACCCATCTTTTTGAGATAAAATTAAATTTCGATTTTACTTGAAATAAATATATTTATAAAAAAATTATTAATTTTATTTAATAAAAATATGGATCTAATTCAAAAATAATAATATAGATATGAGTATTATTACAATTATATCTAAATATATATGGTAGAATTACATTATTTTTCAGGTCCAGTCATAAATTTTTTACCTTAAATTTGAACCCGACCTAACTCAAACATCTCCTCTAAAAAACTTGATCCGACCCGTATCTATTTTTTTAAACAACCCAATAAGATCAGATCGGGTCAAAACCCTTCTAGTTCATGTCTCACACCCAATCCTACGACACTTGTAAATGGTTTCCAAATATAAGTAGTATTATAAACTAATCGAATCGAATTTAAATATTGTTGAGTGTAATTTAAAATTTTCAAATTTTCAAATTCGGCTACTTAAAATTAAACAACAAATAAAACAAGTAAAGAAATATAGAATTGGCGTGGATGGAGATATAATGGGCTGCTAGCAGCTGCCGTAGGTAACATGACAGAGAAAATAAAGAATAATTTTGGGTTTGACACGTAGTGGGTCCATATGTCGACAACGATAAAGGGTTTAGAGTGGGGGACACTTTGAAATTGTCCACTTGGGAAAATTTTGATTTTATTCATCATTTGTATTTTTGTTCACAATTTTTATAGGGCAAACTTAGGGATGGACACGCGATGGGACGGACCGTCTTTTGGACGCCTCCATTATGATCTGAAAATATATTGTTTATATTCGATCTTATTTTGTTTTGAGAAATTTCAATTTTGTTCTTGCCTTAAATCCGTCCCTTTTTTAGATTAAAATTTTGATTCGACCTGATTTTGATATTTTAAAATAGTTAAAATAATATATTTATATCATTTATTATATTTTAAACGGTTAAAATAATATATTTTATTTAGTCACTTAATTATTCGCATATTTTCATTTGGTTATCTGACTATTTTTTTTAAATATCACTAATGTTATATTTTAATTTTATTTTGGTCATCTATCGTTAAAAATTTAACGGTGATACTAATATATCATCATAACATAATATCACATCAACAATTATGTTATTTTTTTAACGGCAGATGATCAAAATAAAATTAAAACATAATGTTAGTGATGATTTTGGAAAAGAATCATTAAGTGACTAAAATAAAATAAAATAAATAGTTAAATGACTAAATATGTAGTTTACCCATTTTTTATCCATCCGTGATTATTATGCTATGTGAGGCTTCATTTGTTAAAAGTATTATTATTGAATTAGATGACACTTTTTTTAAAATATTTTTTAATATTCATTTAAAAATTGATTCGATTTAATTCTAAATATAATTAACAGCATGTAGCCACCAAACATCAAATGCTTTTCGGATAAAATAAAATTCTAATAGATATAACTGGTGAAGAAGATGATGAAAAAAAATTAACTTTGATCTCAATTGCAATTATAACTCATTAGTTCATTCTCTATATTTAAAAGGTATTTAGAAATTTAAACCCTAGCCACTTATTTTCCAAAAAACAAAAAACCTTTTAACTATGTTATCTTTATCTTTTTTATTTTAGGTCGACAGGTGGCGACATCAATTTTTGTGCCGCTTATTGTTGCTAATATTTTTATTTTTCTTTAATTTTTATATCACATCTTTTGTATTTTTAGATTTTAATAATTTTGTGTTTATGATACATTTTATTAAGACACTTTTTTTTCTTCTAATTTTATGACATGTTTTCGGTTATTTGATTGTTATTTTAGTTTATCATTTTTCTCAAAGTTAGATTTGATACCGTCACAATTGATCAAGATGACATTTATTTTGTTGTCATGCTTATATTTCATGTTTTGGATCCTCAAATTGGATTCGGATACATGATTTACATTCACAAATAGTTTTTTTCATGTCGTTCGACCGTGATTTACGGTTTGTCAGTAGATTTTTAGTAGTTTTATTTTTTTGTGGTTCACTTGTCGATGCAGTCATATTTGTTAGTATCTATCTTTTATTCAAGTTTTTAGTTAGGTTTTTAATATTTTTTTTGTATGAACCTTGTATGATCTTAAGTAACTAATTTTTGTGTTAATTATTATAAAAAATATCTTAATTATATATTTAATTTATATTTATAGTTATAAATATTCATTGTAATTTTGCATATTTTATCTTTCTAATAAAAAAGCTAAGGGATTTAAAAAAAAAAAAGGTATTTAGAAATTTAGGTGACGAAAGTCGTACTAATAGTGAAATTTTCATAATTAATTCAATTCAATAGGCAAAAATACTTTCTTAATTTGAGACGATTGCATTAATTTTATAACGAGATTTAGCTAATAATCAGTTACTCCATTTGGAATCTAACGCGTAATTGAATATTATGGGTAAATATTCGTTTCAGTACTTGAATTTAACTTCAATATTTTATTTGATATTTAACCTTTTTATTTAATTAGGTATCCGAATTTGGTTGTAACATTTAATTTTGTATCTACTTTTTCTTCTGTTAAATATTTAAAATTGATTTTTTAAATTTAAATTGATACTTGTTTTTTTCCTCCAATTTGATACTTATTAATTTTTATTTGGTTTGAACTAAAAAAATTAGATTTGAGTACTGTATGAAGTAATTAGAAGATAGTATTTATTTGAAAAACTCTCAATCATTTAACAATGAACGCATAACTACTCTTACAAAGGACGTGCTTAAATTTGAGATCTGTAAAAATAATAATCATCCATTTAATCACTGAGATGACTTAATACTACAACTAATACATTATTGTTATTGGGCAGAACTATTATATTTTATCATTTTCAAAATGGATCAATTTATTATCACATATAATAAGTTTAAATATATTTTTAAAACACTCATCAAACAATATTAATTATTATTCTATATTATTAAAACTCACAAAATAAAAAACACAAATAAAATAATAGTATAATTATTTTAGGGTAGACAAAACTCGACTCGAAAAGCTGATTTTTTCGACTGTACTCAACTTGAAAAAATTCGATCCGAATTGACTTTGAGTTGTACTTTTTTAAACTCAACTCGATTAAAAAAGATTTCAAGTTCAAACCGAATCGAGTCCCTCAGCTCTATATGATACATGTATATCACATATGAAGAAATATATTGTATATGGTTATAAAAAATATTTAAATTGAAATCAAATAATATTATAAATATTTATAATTAAATTTAAACAGAAACTCAAAAATTCAAATTGATTTGAAAAAATCTCAATTTAAATTTAAGTTATAAAATAAGACTCGTAAATTTAAATAACTCGAAATTTCTTAATTTAATTAAACTCAACTCCATTCGATAATAAAACGTTATCCTTAATTCATTCTCTTACCATGCTTTTCAGCTCCCCTATAAAAAAGTTAAAGCCCCTGTATCAGTTACAATGATATGGTCCCCATTAATCGTTAACTATCTACCTCCCTCCATTTTCTTCAAATTTGATTGATCTTATTAATCGTTCAACTGAAACAACAATTATCACCATTTTCAAGCATACACCAGCATTTTTTACAATAAAAATTCGTATAATATAAATATCCATGTTTAAGGACTAATATGGCAAATACAATTAAGGGATGAAATTAAAAAATTGTAAACTCAAGGACTAAAAGTAGCCTTTTCCCTTATTAATATGTTATATTATCATCTTTAAGCTAGGAAGTCCAGGAAAAAAAATCTAATCCATAGCCAGCCAATTGAAGGTTGCCGACAAACAGGAGAGGCTCCATTGAACGTAAAAGACTGACCACAAGTAGTAAATGCTCCTTTTATGCTTCCACTCTTCTTAAATATTTTTAGAACTCTAATATCTCTGTCTTTCTTTCTTTCTTTCTTTCTTTCTTTCTTTCTTTCAATTTTGCTTCAGACAAGAATCTTATTCAGATTCCATTTCTGAGTTTTTTTTCTTCTCCTTGAACTCAACAGAACAAATATTTTTTATGCATCTTGATTTAACATTCTGAGATATCTTCCCAGAAGAAGGATGGGCATATTGAGCTCTATATTGGGTGTTTTTGCCTTCGGAATTGGAACTTCTGTCGGGATCGTCATTGGGTATTACATGTTCATCTACTTCCTTCCCACTGATGTTAAGGTTTGCTTCTTTCTCCTTTGAATTTTCCATATGTTTTGCTTTTTTCTTCTTCTTATGCTTACTCTCTAGGTGGCTGTTCTTGTTCTTCTACAAGCCGATCTATTAGTTTAAAGAATGGATATTTACTATAAAAATGTTAACTTTACACTAAGCTGATCAAATATTTCGTTTTTACTTGTATTTATGGTCAACTCAAGTTGTTATCTTAATATAATTTAAGTTTATGGATTCTATCTACAGTTTTACTTGGATTTGTATTTTGTAGTGTTGAAAGATGTATATCCATAGTTTTGAAGTGATCAAATTGAGAGCTTATGCTTTTCTAAGAAAGTTTTAAGTTTTAGGATTGAGGAACTTTTCTAACATTTAACAGAGTTAATTCTTTGTTATTGCTCCTTTCCCACCCCACTTTTTCTCGGATTTTGCATATTGTACTAGATCACCATTTACCAAACAATTTGGGCCGTGTTGATGTCTGTAAATGGCGAGACCGTATCTCACTAAGTATTTAAAGTTAATAGCTGAACAACATTAGTAACACGAATTGTCTCCATTGTCATAATTCAACCTTTGAACCATTGATAAGATGGTCATGTTGTTTCTTTTCGTTTTTAACATTCCCTGTGTTCAGGATCCTAAAATTCGTCCTTTGGTTGAGGAAGACTCTAAAACTTTGCAGCGGATGCTTCCAGAGATTCCCTTGTGGGTCAAAAATCCGGATTTCGACCGTGTATGTTCTTCTATGCTATGTTGTTTCTGTATGTCGGGTTCTAAGTGCAATAAGTTATGCGCCAAGTAATAACTGTCTGTTTCTCTGAAGGTTGATTGGCTTAACAAATTTATCGAGAACATGTGGCCTTATCTAGACACGGTATGTGCAACTGCAGTGATCTTTGACCTATTATGGCCTCTCTTATATTTGTTTGGCCGTGTTTTATGGAATACCTTAACAAGTGTCGATACTCCTTTTTCAAGGCAATTTGTGCAACTGCCAAGAATATAGCAAAGCCTATCATTTCTGAGCAGATTCCAAAATACAAAATTCGGTCGGTTGAATTTGAAACGCTTACTTTAGGAACCCTACCACCAACGTTTCAAGGTTGACTTCTCTTTCTCAAATACATTCTACACACATGATCACAACTGCTTATGACATACGAAATGCGGTCACATTGTATCATTGATTAATCTAATTTATTCTTTGCATCCCAATGAGAATCCGAATACCACCGCATTCATGATAGAAGCATTGCAATTCTAAAATAAAAATAATCTTTTTGTTATAACTGTGAAACTTGATTGTACTGAAAAGAGTGCATACTAGATGTCAGAAAAAATGGCCTAGGTGCAAGCATTATGGTGGCTACGAGTTTTTAGCTTATTTGCACGCAATGTGTTTTATTCGTTTGCTTCACCCCCGCAATTCCAGCACAAATTTAATAGTTATTCTCATTGTTGATTTTATCATACGCCAGGAATGAAAGTCTATGTCACTGATGAGAAGGAACTTATTATGGAACCATCCTTAAAGTGGGCAGGGAATCCTAACATCATTATCGCTGTTAAAGCTTTTGGATTAAAAGCCACCGTTCAGGTATTTGCTAGTACACTGATTGATTAAAAGATGAAATATGCATGCCAAAACATGAGAAAATCTGTACACATTCTCAACTCTCGAGTTAACAAACATATGTGCACCCATAACAAAGTGGTTCAACGAGATGTAGATGAAAATTGCTAATTCAAGTGAGGAGCATTTACCTTTTATTTTCCTCCTTATCTTTCAGGTTGTTGATTTGCAAGTTTTTGCTGTTCCTCGAATCACTCTGAAGCCTTTGCTCAGCGTTTTCCCTTGTTTTGCCAACATATATGTCTCCCTAATGGACAAGGTGTGTTGTTATTCAACAACGTAAACACATTTAGTTTACTTTATAATAAAGTTTTGGTAAAATATACGTTTAGTACTTAAACTATCAAATTTATTTCGTTTTAAAAACCTAAACTTTCATTTGTGTCAAAATCATATCTAACGTTTATTTTTTGTTTCGTTTTGATACCTCGCCGTTACAAAGTTAACGAATTTTTACAACATGGTACTTTTTCATGGATAAATTACATCATTCATCACTCAATTATCTTCTCACTTTTATTTTGGTCATTGAAGTTTAATTTTTTTTAATTTAATTACTCAACTTTCAAATTATTTCTAATTTAATCACTTTACTTTTAAATTTATTTTTTTTTATTTTAATTATATATTAATAATATAATAATAAAAAATATCATGTCACAAAAATCATTAATGAAATAAATTAGAGTGATTAAAATATGAGTAATTTGATAGTTGAAATTGATTTTTTTTTAACTTTGGTGACCAAAATAAGAGTTAAAATATAGTTAAGTGATGAATGATGTAATTTACCTATAAAAAATGTCACGTGAAGCAGTTCCTTAAAGTTTTTGATTGTAGGGTATTAAAACGAAACAAAAAGTAAACTTTAGGTGTGGTTTTGAAAAAAATGAAAGTTTAGGTACTAAAATGAAAGAAAACTGATAATTTAAAAACTAAATGTGTAGTTTACCCTAAAGTTTTTACTACATTACAAAGGCGCTCATCGTTATTTACTCTGATAAATTTTTTTGCTTCATTACAAGTCCCTACAGGCCATGTTATAAATTTCTTGCATGATACTTCTCTAAACATCATTCTCACAAGGATTTTTTTTTTCTTTTTTCTAATGTGTTTATTTTCCGACTGCTTCATGATTCAGTTTCAGCATTATGTGTTTAGGAGAAAGCATCGTCCAGGCCGGTGCCGGTTGTAGTAATATTATTCATAGAGATCTCAGTTTCTAGCCTCATTCTTTCTATTCCCTGTTTCCCTAATCTTCCAGTTTAATGTGCAGCCACACGTTGACTTTGGGCTTAAGTTACTGGGGGCAGATGTTATGGCCATTCCTGGATTATATAGGTTTGTCCAGGTAATACTTCTATTTATTTTTTCTTCTTCAAATCAATCCAATATTGTGATGGAGAACGCTATTATTAACCTCATAGCCAATGGTCATCCTATCACAAATCAATTTTCTTCATTGTGCTTAGCAAGGATACTCTATTTCTCCAGGAGCTCATAAAGGATCAAGTTGCAAATATGTACCTATGGCCTAAAGCCTTACAAGTGCCAATATTGGATCCTACTCAGTAAGTGTGCATATTCCAGCTTTCTGCAAATTACAGATGAGACTTTATGTATTATCTTCTAATATTTCCTCAATTTGATAGAGCCATGAAGAAACCTGTTGGAATTCTTGATGTGAAAGTTGTGAGGGCAATGAAGCTTAAAAAGAAAGATCTCCTGGGAAAATCCGATCCTTACGTGAAACTAAAATTAACAGAAGAAAAGCTGACCTCAAAGAAGACTACTGTGAAACAAAGCAACCTGAACCCTGAGTGGAATGAGGAATTTAATTTTGTTGTTAAAGATCCAAACACTCAAGCGTTGGAGATAATTATGTATGACTGGGAGCAGGTATGAAACTTTTGATGTATTTTGTAGATTGATACATGGTATTACCCTGTTCCGTGTGTCCTCGTTGGAAGACTTTCCTTAAACCAATGCTAGATTTCTCTATGTTTTGCATTATCGTGTATATGCATGCCCTGTATATTCCACATGTATTCCTCAAGCTGTATGTTAACTTCAATTCAGGTTGGCAAACACGACAAGATGGGCATGAATGTTGTTCCTCTGAAAGATCTTACACCCGATGAACCAAAAGTTTTGACTCTCGATCTGCTGAAAAATATGGACCCGAACGATCAACAAAACGAGAAGTCGCGTGGGCAGGTTGTCTTGGAAGCCTTGTACAAACCTTTCAAGGAGGACGAAATACCAGATGACATTGACGAATCAACTACGGTACAAAAAGCTCCAGAAGGAACACCTGCAAGTGGAGGTTTACTTGTAGTTATTGTGCATGAAGCTGAAGATATAGAAGGAAAGAACCACACAAACCCACATGTGCAACTTTTATTCAGAGGGGAGGAGAAAAAAACTAAGGTATGCCATAAAAATTTGTTTCCAAACTTCCAATGCATCTTTCTTTTTTATTGCATTCCATATTCTTACAGCTGCAACTGTTGATTTCACCATTTAAAATCTTGGAAATTTTCGATAAATCATGCTGAGGAACATCCACGAGTTGGAACCAACAATTCGCAGTTGATAAATCAGCATAAGTCCGCAGTTTCAGGATGCATTATTGAGTATGAATAGATAAGCTATTAGACCTGTTATTTTTCCCTGCATGATCAAATCTCTATTGTAATTTTTGTCTGAGCATTGTGTTCTTGTTAGTTACCATACATTTTGATTCCTCGTCCGAAATTTGTCAATACAGCGTATAAAGAAAAGCAGAGATCCAAGATGGGAAGAGGAATTTCAGTTTATGGTGGATGAACCACCCATAAACGATAAAATTCACATCGAAGTATTCAGTACGTCGTCCAGGATAGGGCTACTGCATCCCAAGGTGCACATTGCATTTCTTTTGCTCTCGTTTTCGTCCTCTCTCATGTCATTATAACAACCATTGGTCATCCTTTTGACCCAATGGATGATTAACTAGATCTTTATGTATAATAATGCTTTACATGTTTTTACCAGGAATCTTTGGGTTATGTTACTATAAGCCTAGCTGATGTTGTGAATAACAGAAGAATCAATGAAAAATATCATCTTATCGACTCGAGGAACGGTCGGATTCAAATTGAGATGCAGTGGAGAACTTCTTAGATATTCAGCTATTTGGGTTTGGGAAAGTTTGTAAAGAATTAGTAGTGTTTTCTGTTAATAGCAACTACAGCTGTCGCATTGTTTCTTTCTTCACTCCCCTTCTGTTTATCAAGCTTCTCGACTCCTCTTTAATATGTTGTTAATGTCAATAACTATCAATTTCCTAGCAAATCTCGCCTTCCTGTTGGAACCAAAGAAATCCCCCCCCCCATGTCCTGTAAGCATGCATGAAATATCTTAAGGGTAAATTATAGAATTGATCATTTTCGTTTAAATTTTGTATATTTTTCTAACTGAATTAAAAAGATATAATATTTTGTCACTTTCGATTTTATTTAATTAAAGAAAATTTTTATTTAATGAAGATGTGGAGATTAACTCATAACTGTTGTTAGGCATGTAAAACTTATCTTATGAACATTGCCATGTAAAATGATAGAGAAAACAACTATGAAACAAAGACATGATACATCTTTCAGTTTATCGAAGAAATTTAGTTTACAATTGTCTTGTACTAAAAAGAATTATGGCTGCCATCACACTTCGAATTTAAACAATAATACAACTATGAAAGAGGAAATCAAATTCTCTAGCAGACTTACTTAAAAAAAATAAAGAAAAAATAATTTATAGTGCTTAAACATTCGGAGAAAAATAAACAAAAATGCAGATAATGAGACCAGAATTACAAGCCTGCATGACTGTCAAATGAAGCGAACCATGTTTAGCAAATTAACCATAGATGGAACCCAAAAGAAAATTGGAAACGTTTATAACAACCACTAAACAACAAGACATTAGGAGAATCCACGGAGGAATACAGCAAGGGATGCAAGGCACTTTAAACTTCCTATAAGCCGCATCGCAAGCAATACTAAAAAAATCCAGCGAAGCCATTTCAGGAATACCTTGTTACATTAATCAAGTTTTGGTGAATAAGACCAACAAGCCGTCTTGGGTTGGTGAATAAAATTTTTGATGTTTTAGAGATCAATTTGTTACTCTTGAAATTTTAGTGGGTAAAACGAAAACTTACTTAAACATTAGTGATCATGTGTATAATTTACCCTTTTTAATTTTATATCGACATTGTGCCAGATAGTAATCCGTTTAATGTCTCACGACAATTAACCCTCAATTATCACATCTTAATCAAACAAAATAAAAATAATCAAATATTATATTTTTTTTAAAATTTAATGAAGAAAATTGTATAAAACTTAAATAAAAATGATTAATCTTGTAATTTACTCATACCTTAATTAACTATTTTTATATTCTTTGGATTTTTGTCGATTTCATTAGGTAGTGACATGATTGATTGAACGTATTCACATTCGTTTTTATTTATAAATCACCATTCATTATTATTTTAAAATTGTCGACACAATCTGTGGCATAGCAGAAAAAATAATTCGACGATCACCAGAGATCCAAATACAAGAAATGAATCAGAATAAAAAAAAACATTATATTTTAAAATTTTAAAAAATATATAGAAATATTGTTGTAAATCTAATCGACTTTGAACTATGTTGATTACCAAATCACAACAATAGTATCACGAACTCTACTTATTTCACCTAATTGCAGCGAACAAATTTGATTTTCTAAACATTTTAGAGAATTTTACGAGTGCCGGTTGTTGTACCCCTTATGCTTTTATATATCTTTTAAAGTCCTAATTCGATTTACAACTAAGTTTTTATTAGATATCCATTTTTAAATTAAATTTGTAATATTTTAAATTGTAATAAAAAATTATATTACAAGTGGTTTAAAACTTATAACCAAAAATATTATATTATATATATATTTTTGTTCTCTCAATTTTTTTAAGATTTTGTCTTGACTTATACAAATAAATCCATTTTGTATACTTAATTCTGGTAAATAAAAGAATTTATATATATATATATATATATATATATATATATAACTTTAAATTCGTGATATATTTAAAGTTATATTAAATTAGTTATTACTTTAATTAATTCGGTTATTTGATGAAACAATTAAAACCCTGTGGAAGTGACCTTTCCCCAACACTACACTCCATCTTTGATTGATGAAACGCTGCCGCAAAAATATTCTTCACATCATCATTGCCGGCTCAGATCTCGTTGAACAATTTAGAAGTGTATTCTGTTGAAATGAGTGCCTTACGCATTGATATCGTCTAGTCTATCAATCGCCGCTCAACTCCCAAACTTCTCAAATCCATTACCCTTTGCTAAAACTAGTAAAAGTAGGGATAATGACGTATCTTTATAGCCCGAGTTCCTTTGCCCAAAGATTCTTCGTACCTACCTATATCTCTTGCTAATGGTAGGTTGGTTTTGTTTCCTTCGTATTCATTATTGAGACCGTGGGATGGGCAGTGCCAATGGTATGTCCAGTTTGCTACCATATTATGTAACCATGCCAACGATGGCTGGGCTGGACAGAACCGTAGATTTCATTTGCAGCTGTAAGGCAAAGCTCGATAGTGAAAGGTTACAATGTTTGAGCGTTTGAGACATGCAACATTATAGGACAAGAAAATGATGTTTAAGCCATCACCCTCTAACTTTTAAAACACTTTCACTGTCAAACGCAATAATTTGGGCTCCATCGAGGCCAAAGTATTCTATAAATCTAATTAATATTTAAAAAAATTTAATAAGCAAAAAGAAAATATAACGTAAAGATTTATTTGTGTATTTTATCCAATAAAAAACACAGGTAAGCGAAAAGGAGAAAGTTTGTGCAATGGGAGCAATGGTCCCCTTATTTTGTGGACGGAGCCGATCGGAGAAAATAACAAAAAGAGTAGACTTTTAGCTCACATCCAAACCGGAGTCAGAGCCCAAAAAGGTCCTTTCTTCGGGAAATGACATTCACAGCCTTTAATAATACCCCATCTTCTGTCTTCTCAACACATTCATCTTTCATCAATCCCACACTACTAAACCCTCAAACTCTGATTGCTTTAAAAAAAAAGAACAGAAAATGATAAACAACTGGTTTCCATGGCTGACAGTATTGCAGTCTGCATTTATTACTGGGCCAAAGTTCAGGGAACCGGCAGATCACGCCGTCAAACCACACTCATCAGATGAGTAGTACCTTACCAGTAAACAGTTTGTAAGCCCTCCGTTCAGAGTTAACGTTTCAGTCTCTGCCATGGCGGACCCCTCACTTTTGACTCGCAGAAAATAACAGAGCTGACAGAGCTTTAAAAACTTGTAAATTCAAGGTTAAATCTCTCTGTCTTCTTCCATTTTCAATTGCATGTAATGTACGATGGAAACCATGGGGCCACTGGCTTTTCAGATTTTATATTTGTTCATTTCCATATCCAAGCTTATGCATTGGCAACTACGATTCGAGGTAACATTTGATCGATGAGATATAAGATTATCTTTCGACAATAAAATTATTATAATATATATAATTTAAAATATTATTTTATTTTAAATGTTTAAAAAATATATAAAATAATAATATTTAATTGAATGAATATAAGATAATAAAAATGTATATTTTATAAAAAAATTTGAGATATATATTTTTATTTAACAAGAGTATTTCTCAATATTAAAATGAAAATATTTACATGAAAGTTGATTAAAAATATAATTTTTTATTACTTTTAATTTATATATTTTTCATAAAATTTGTACACAAATAATTTAATATATATATATATATAAATACAAAATCATATTTATATTAGTATAATTATGTGTTTACTTTTAGATAGTAAGATATTGAGTGATATACATATTTACATCTGTATAAGTATATGTTAATTGTTGTTTTTTAAAAATTCTATTCATTCTAGATATATGTTTTGTATGACGAAATATCATATAAAATTATTTGACAAATTTAATAGAAAATATAAAAATATAATAAAGAAAACATTTTATGAAAATTAATCATAGAAGTAAATGCAATAAAATTCATATAAAAAATAAACTTGAACCAATCACATATATGTAAATACTCAAAATAAAATAAAATTTTAATTTTTATTATATTCATCAGATTTTTTATAATAATTATTGAAAATTTTAGAATCACGATAAAAATAAAACAAATAAAATAGATTTATACCAATGTAATTATACACAAAAGAAATAATTATTTTGAAATAACCATATCATTTCAAGGGTACTTTTGTCTTAAACGGAAAGAATTGTCTGATACATAAATAAACAGATATAATGATATTCTTAGAAATTCAAGCAAAAAAAAAACTATTGTAGGTAATGTTTTATTAAACCCAGAGGAAATGCTCTTAAACCAACTTGGATATGTAATTCCAGAGAATATTATTCTCTTTTATCCAAACATTCCCTCAGGTATACTATATTATTGACAATTTAATTATTTATTTTTTAATTTTATATACTTATATATAAAATTGATAAATAATAAAATAGATAAAATTTTACATTTAATCATTAATACTTAAATATTATATTAGTTTAATCTTAAACTTAATCCTAATTTTAATTTAATTTAATAAATTAATTATTTAATCAGAATATAAATTACACATATTTATGTATGAGAGGAATTGAACCATTATTAATAGGGGGAAAGGGTGAGTACCCCAACCACTAGACCAAAGATCCTTAATAGTTCAAAAGTTACAATAAATCGTATTTATCTTAAAAATTTGTTAATATAAAAAGAGAATTTTTGTTGAGAAAGACATAGATCGTTAACGTAACTCTAAAATCGGAGATGGTATAAACGTTATAAAAGTGGCAAAGACGTGTTTTACCTAGTGGCGGATGCACTCAGCCCTTTATACGGGTCAAATGCAACCATATTATTTTAAAAAATTGGTTAAATTTAATTTAATGTGTTAAAAAAAGAAAAAAATTACAATTTTTACATACCCATTATTTTTAAAAAAAGAAAATTAAAATTTTAGACATTCATTATTAAATTTTTGAATCCGTCACTGATTTTACTGATTGTGTTTTTTACGTGTGCTGTTAAATTAATATAAGACAAATTTTATAGAATGCGTTTTTGTCACGAATATTCAAGACGCATCTTATACAAAGTAATTTATTTAAAAATATAATATTTCAATAAATACTGGTGAAGGAGTAATATTTCGGTCTTTAAAAATGGCGATTTTCCCCAAAAATCATCGGTGATCGGTATAT